TCTTGTTGTGCTGCATTTTTTGGCCATAATAACATAAGTGCTACAGGACACTCAGATGGCCCAAGTCTTCTTTCTTTACATTCTTGCCCAACAGAGTTTCCTACTACCTCTGCTAATTCATAACCATTAGAAACAGATGCATCAACTAATCCAAGTCTTTCTATAATACACTCCACTATTTCAGCTGATGAAGTTTGTTTTGTAGCCTTAATTGAAAGTGCTTCATATTCTGGGCTCCATTCACCCACAAATACTTGCACTACACCAGAGCCACAACTGTCCATTTTTTAACCCTACGAAATTATAACATATTTAATTGTACTAATTTTAATATACTATATTGTTACTAATTTTATGCTCATTGCCATCATACCTTGTTTTATATAGGGTTAACAAATTTGTCCTCTATCATCCAGGCAAAATTTCAAATGTATTGTTTCTTTTTCTTTTTGTTTTTCAATTATGTACAACCACTGATGCAAACGTTTAAAATAACTAGTATACATTTTGTTTAAAAATAATCACTTCTATAGCTGATTTTGTGATTTATTTACAGGTAATGTTTACATTAATTTAAATTTGTCAAATGCACTCAAAATTACCCAATATTCACAAACTAAAAGACCTTATTTACATACATATATGTCATGTCAAATCTTAATGATTTGGTTCAACAAAATAAAAATTTGTATTTTTCTTTCATTGTAGTAAATAACAGAGAGAAGCAGTTCTAAACTATTCTTGGGAGTTGCATTTAAATTTATCATTTCATTTGATCAATAGAACATACCACAAAATATTGTAATCATAGATTAATATATATCTTTCTTTTTGTATAATAAAATAGAGTCATTAAAATTATTTTATTGTTTTTTTCGTTTTAAATTTATATATTCAGTCAATTTTATATATTCCTGTTGATTTTGTTCTTCAATAGTTGGAGTATTTTAAATTCATAAGATAATGTGTTTAATTCAGATGTCATGTATTTAGCACTGAATGCTCAGCAAAACATTTCTGACAGCCATTATATTTTATCATGACATTCACTGTATAGTTGAAAAGAGTGTAGGTGTGCTATTGTTGGCAGGCAGTAACTCAGTATCTCTACTGAGACAATAATCGAAGGTTTTCAATGTTTTGTAAATATCTTCATGCCATTTGAGTATTTTAATACACTTATTGCAAAAGATTACAGACGTATTTGCATTTGTATGTATTATAAAACTTTTGTGCGTTAAGGAAATATCTTATCTAAAAAAAAAAAGATGTATGACACACAAATGTTTCAGATCAAGTATTTGTTCATATAATATTAATACATGTCTCCATTACATAAATTTACTTGAATCAAACAAAGTAAGTATTGTTATCATAGTCATAATGTAGAAATATTTTACTTTCTGTTTGAGTTTATTTATAAATATTCTATCACGTAAAACAAATACAAACTTTGTATTCAACTTAATAATTCTAACCTTAAAATAAAAGAATGATATTTCAAATAAAAAAAAAAAATGATATCTTAAAATCTCAATCTCCTTTTTTTATTTTTTCTCTATGAATTTGTGCTAGCCGAATTTAAAAATATCCCTTTAAATCCTCTCTTCATTGCCGGTAATTTTTCAATTGAACAATATCGCAGTTGTCTCAATATAAAAAAAAGGAACATAGAATAATATAATAAATAGTCTCGGGTGAACGGTAATCGTAACACATCGATCATTCATTGGATACACAAAGGATTGCGAAAAACGACATACGTTCCCGAGATACCGATTGCTTCGGACTTGACGGCTGACATTCGCAGGAAAACCGTCTTCCGACGCCGATTGGCGGGTCATGGACCACACCACCAATCAGCAACGATCTGTAAGTGTGAACGTCAACAGAGTAAACCGGGCTTAAAGTCATCAAGAATTTCTCGACAGGCATGACACTTACTGGTTGTTATATATCATCGTAAAAGAATGTAATGAAAACATGCAAGTTTATTTGGAGAATATGTTGTTTTTGTTACCTCCTTTGCTGATAACAAGACCCTCGATGTGACATATTCTTATAAATCATCAAAGCCTTCACATTTTTGGACGTGCTATCACGGACTTAAAATTTCACTATAAACGCACTGCCGTCTATTTTCACGATATTCAATTTTCTTTTCCCTCGTTCGCTAACTTAAATTATATCCTCTTTTTTTTATACGCCGTCACAGAAACGTTCTATCGAGAGAACGATATGATACAGCTGAGACTCTCGCGCACTCGACATACACTGTTCCTCTGTTTTCTCGCACCTAGACACACGTACAATACGGGCGGATTGACACTTCAGTAAACAAGATCTATTGTCACCGATACTCTTGCTTTAGTTCAGTCGTTGCCGGTCCTATTGGAAATTACACTAATATTCGTGGTTAATCGTGTTTCTGGATTGATAATACCGATGACACAGATGAAGGGCTCTTGCCCAGTTTATCGTCCTTCGTCTCCTCTCGGGATCCTGCGTCCCGATACGTCCACCATTTCGATTTTTCCGATCACGTGGTACACAATGTCCGTTTTGATTGGCTTACTTCACGTGACCACGTGACTGCTCGCTAAAGCACAAACTTCCATTGAGAGGAAAGTTGCGTTTGGAGCTATCTGTTGATCATTTTGTGAAGTACTTCATATAGAGGATTCTATATATTTCAATGGCTCCTCAACATGAAACTGACTATATATAAAACGGCATTTCTAAAAATATTTGCTTTATAAATAAATATAACATAATAATACAAGCTTATGTCATTAATTTTGGAAGATTTATTGTAAAGAATATAATAAAAAAGTGCCAATTATTTGTATCATTAAAATAAAATCCAGAAATAAAATGATATATATAGGAGCTTAACAAATATTACTAAATAAATTTATAGCGATACGATTAACATATTTCACACCAACAGAACAACATATCTAACAGCAAAGCTTTCTCGTGGTCAAATTACAAGAGGGGATAGATGACCCCCTTACCACTTTCATGTCACATGCGACATTATCGATTCTGTGTATTAATGGTTTGAATCACAGACGAGATATGCATCTGTGCACCACAGACAAGGTCACAGACAAGGTATATGAATAGATATTGCATCCAATGCATTTTTTCGGCCATGGTAATAAAATCCTCGGGACCTTACCATTTTCGTGTCACATCCTGTTTTACCGATTTTACGACCGCAGCACTACCAGTAGCAAAAATTAAAATTAAAAAAATATGAACAGTGTTGCCAAATCAGAGAATTTATTGAATTGAATGGTACTTCATCAATGAAGGAATATAAACAGCGAATTTAAAACAGCAACTTTACTTGAAAGTTGAACAACGAAAAAGGTCATTATAAGTTGAACTTTCATCGTGTCCATACCGATTAAACTTTCGAAGTGAATTTTTAAATATTATATCTGAATATTCTAATTGTTTAAACATTATCTAATATTTCTAATAATTTACTTGCAACAATTAAACAAAAATTCTCTTCCTAAGTGTTATTTAAAATTTGTAACTAATAATTTATAACATCAACAATCTTGAACAATGAACTTAAAAGAAATGACTTTGACCTACTGAATGAAATAATTAATTTAATTGTTTAATCGTAATATAAAACTCGTGAAAATTAGTAAATGTCAAGAAATATAGTAAAAATAAAATAATTTAATTGTTTCAAGTGAATTGTTCAAACTGTATATAAAATAATGCATTTCGATAATATTTTTGTGCAGTATTTAACAATTTTAACTATTTACTTACAACAATTGAATCAGTAATTGAACTCCCAAATATTATTTTATAGCTTGAATAATTCATTTATAATAATTAAATTATTTCAATTATAAAAACAGAAAAGACAGTTACATAACATACATCTTTCTTACTTTCTGAAACATGAATGAACGAAAATTTTCATATGTTACGCGATTATTGTAAAGCGACAATCATCGCTTAATTCAATTTTTGATTACATAACTTTTCTCTACATAAATTTCTATTTAATATACATCAATGCAGTTATAATTTAAAAATTAATATCACGAAAATGTAAATTTAGCTTTAGCCGATAAAAAATTAATAACTTAAAACATTTAACATTCTAACATATTCATGAAACTGTAAATCTGCGATAAAAACTAGTAAATTATTGATTAGTATAATAGAAAAACTGTTTTTCGAAATGCAAAAAAAAATTATCAACTGTTCCGGATTACTTACGACCAAAACATTAGATTAACCTTGAGCAGTAGGGAGACTCATTGCCAATTAAACTTCCGTCATGTTTTAAAAGTTCAGAAAAAAAATTAAACTTTCGATCTGTATATAAAGATTAAATTTTAGAAGTTTGA